AGGAAAAGAAACAGGAAAGCTCCAGGGTTGAGGTGGCAGCCCCAGAGGGAGAAGCTGAAGCCAGCCAGGTTACTAATGCAGCTTTTCGGTTCCTCCTGCTGAGTTCACTGTGTTATTTCAGCCTTCTGCAAATCTGTCTAGACATCAGAAGCCAGGCCTGGGCAGCCTATCAGAGGGGTCAGCTTGGGGGTGGGACTGGGGGTGACTGAGTTGGGGGAACTGAGGAGGACCTCTGGTCCACTGGCCTCAGGGGTCTCCCTCCCCCACTCTCAAACGAGAAGGGAGGAAGAGAAGATGGGAGCTGGCTGGCCTTTTGAATGAAGCTAAATCCAACTCTTCCCACTCAATTCCATAAGCCTGTGTGGAGTGCTAACCATGGGCAAAGATTTTCTGAATCTTCTGGGGAAATCTCTTCATTTTGCAGTCCGAGAGGGAAAGTGACTTGTACAGACCACAGATAAAGGGCAGATTCCACTGGGTATGGAATCCAGACTTTTTGACCTGAAGCACTGGCTCTGATCATGGGAATTGAGAGCTGAGGACAACCTCATGAGTCTTCTCGTCCAATCTCAGGGTTTAGAGATGAGGACACTGAGACTCAGGGGACGGGACTTCCACAGCCTCTACTGTACCAAGGGAAGGATCATCATGAAAACACTGCTGGTGCATGTGGGAGGACAGACAAGGGCTCCTGGAGGGCCCTCAGGAGTGCCTCTTGGCTGCTATGGAAGCCTGGGGGGAGGCAGGCTGACCTGGGGGCCCTGAACTACAACACACTTCAGATGATTTGGGCTCTGGGGCTTCAAGTATTCTAGCTTCTCCGAAGTGTTTTTCTAAGAGTGGATAACATCACAGAAAAGCAGCCCTGGGAGAAGAGAGAGGACGTCCTTCTCGGACCAGGAGGGAGTGTGTGTGTTTGTGGTGCGGGGGGGGCGTGAATGAAGAAAACAGAACTATCAGAACACAAGAGAGTGGAAATAGCCCCTCCCCCGTTGTCCATGTGCCAGCCATCGGCCCAGTCTCCAGTTTAGGGCAGGAGGTGGGACAGTGAGGGGCCAAAGGACAGCTGGGCCTTCCTACCTCAGCTGGATACAACTGAGCCGTGGCTAGGGTCAGAGGCCAGGAACAGATGCTGTCAGGCCAGCTGGCCAGAGCATTCCCAATTAGACTTTGTTTCTCATCCTTAAGACCCTGAGCCCCCAACCCCAGCACCTCAGCCCAATTACTGCCCAGCAGCATTAACCCCTTGGTGCCCCAGGCCGTTAATGGAATGTTAATTGGTCTAATGGGTTTCATGTCAACAAGTCCTAATGAGCTCCTTCCTAACGAGCTTGGTATTTTTTTCCCTAAGCCTGTTTGTCAACACACTGGAGTTTGGGCTCCAGACTGAGAGCCTCGTGGTGCAGAGAGGCTGGAGTTGAGGAGGCAGGGGAGATGGGTGCTTCTGGACTGCCTCGCCTGTTTCCTAAAGGGGCGTCCTTTCATGCCCCTTCCTCCACCCCGGGGCCTCACTGCCTCCTGAGCTCTGCAAAATGGCAATTTTAGCTTCTTTTGATGATGATATCAGTGACACAAATGATTTCTTCTTAGATACCATTGTGGGGTTGAGTGTAGCATTAGGTTTTTCCTTACTAGCTATCATATAATAAAGGTTTTCACCATTAAAAAAGAAAAGCTTTCGAGGGGAGCTTCTCCCCATGGGAAGTTTCTCCCAGGTAAGTTGTTCCTCGGATGACCTCTATCTGCAGTCTTGGCCATGCTCCCTCGAATGCCCTGGTGTCTGGTAACAGAGCTGGGGCCTCTGGACAGGGCCCCTGACAAAAGCTCAGAAGCCCTGGCCGGGGTGAGCTCAGGCCTGCTACTTCTCTCCCCACGCCCCAAGAAAAGGCAAAAAGGGCAGGTTTCCCCAAAGGGCCAGGGACCCCAGTTCTTGACAAAGGAGTTCCTCCACCCTCCCAACCGCACCGCACCGTCCCAGCCGAGTCTCAGACAAGATTAGTCAGATACCCCAATTCCTCTCCAGGATGGTGGCACGTGGCCCCTCAGGAGAAGCCTAGCAAGACTGGGGAGGGCAAAGAAGAGAGCCAGCTTCCAGAGGTGGCCACGGGGTCTCACTGCAGCTGACTCCCCTGAGTGTCAAGTTGCTGAAGGAGGCTTCTGTGCCTGAGTGAGCAGAGAAGGAACTTAAGCCCCTGATGAAAAGGCCTCCTGTTCTCCTGCAGGAGGAGCCCCCAGAGGGCAATGGGGCAGTGGCCTAGTGGCCTGTGGTGACTCCAGAAAGGGGGAGAGGCAAAACATTTTTCCTCTGACCTCTGCTGAAGCAGGTCTGACCCCTGATCCCATCCCAGCAGGCTGAGGACTGAAAGATCTCCTCTCAGCCTCATGGATGGCTGTCTCTGGATGCAGAGCACTCTTATCTGTCCCTCCTTACTGCCAGACAGGGCAGTCCTCCTGCTGTTGCAAATATTTCTAGGAGCAGCACCTCTAAAATGACCCTACCTCCCATTCATTGGACAGTGAACAAAAGAATGCGCATTAAAGACTCCTCTCTTTAGCCCAGATCCTCCTCACTGAGCTTCCTTTGCTCTGCCTTCACTACTACTTTCTCATCCATGCAGTGAGGTCACCAAAAGACCCAAACCCGGGGTTAAAGGGAACCCCTTACCCCTGAAAGGGGAGAAAGCCCTCCTTCCTGGAGGCGGATCCCACCCCGACTCTGCGCTCGGGCACCCTCTTCTGGAGGCTGCTGGGGCAACAGTGCTACCGCCGGTCACTGTTCTCCAGCCAGTGATCACCTAAGATTGGCACTCAGGGAAGAGATCCCACCACCCCGACCCTTAGGCTCCATCCAAAGTTACCTTTTCTACCAGAGTTCCAGGAAAGGCTGTGCTAGACGCGCTCTCGAAATATCCCAATTTCTTTTATTCCCTCAGAGTCTGAGAGATTCCACATCTATTTTAATATCTCAAAAGTCTCAATTCTTGAAGTTGTTTCTGATGTCTCAAGGAGGCTGTATCCCCATTTTTCCCTCTGGAACCGTCTTCACTCTGCTCCTGTCTTGCTGGGGTGCTGACTACCACCCAGACAGAGACCCAGCCATGAAAAGAGGCCTCGATTCCCCTGCCTGAGGAGAGAGGCTCCCCTCACGTTTCTACTCTGAGCCCCTGTGCGGGAGGAAATCCTGGATCTCGGTGCCCAGCGTGTGTGAGGTGGGCGAGACCCTGCCTGCTTTCGTCGCAGGGATATCCTGGTGGTCTGTCTTCTGAAGTAAGGAGGGAGAAGCAAAGTACAGGCAGTGAGGCCAACAGAAACTATCCTGCAATTACAATGTTTTTAGCACAGGAAAAGCTGTCATGCCCTGCACTTTCTCCACGGGTATCTCTTCCTCGCGTTCCTTCCCGCTGGACTGTCACCTCCCTCTACTGACCACACTCCTTGCAGAGAAGACCTTGCCTCCTTCATCTGTCCTGCCACATACATCCCCAGCACAGTTCTCTGCACAGAGCTGATACTTGATAAACATCTATTGAATGAAATATAAATTTCCAGCGGTTTCTGTATGTGCACTTAAAGTCAAAGCATACCTGGTACTTTGTGGACTTAGGTCAGGCCAGAGTAGATCTTTCTTCCCCTTTCTGAAAAATAATGACACACGCACGCACAGGCACATGCGCGTACACACACACAGCCCTGTGTTTACTTAACAGCAGCTCCAAAGCACCCTCAAATTCCCACAGAATTTAGGCATGTGAACATTTTGGAAGACCCGGGGAGCATCAGGCAGAAGAGGATGAAGCCCTGGAGTGCACAGGGAGAGGGGACGGAGGGGCCGAGTGCTGTGCGCCTTCCACCCAGGAAAAGGACAGGGCCTGCACTCCACAGAGGTTCTTAGAATCTCCTACCCCACGATAGACAGGCCTGCATCAGGCAACTAGCCTGTGGTTTCCAGCTCTAAATATTTCAGCACATCTCTATAGCTCCACAGCTCTCTGGGCATTCTATTTCCCGGGCGGCACTGCCAGGCTGTTTCCCCTTAGGGCACCATGTTCTGGTTCAAGAGGAAACCTTGAGGCCCCATGGGGGTGGCTCACTTATTGTTGATGAGAAAGGGGTGAGGGTGTGGTACAGTGGAGCAGACGCAGACCTTGGAGGTTTTGGTTCCATCCCTGCTTCGCTAACAAGCCCCACCACACCCCCCTTACACACACCTCACTCCTCTTGGCCTCTGTCTCCTCCACTGTAAGAGGCAGGTAGACCATTTGGCTCTGGTATTTTGTGGACTTCTGGCCCCACATGCCTGTGACTCTGTATTGAACCAAGGCTAAGGAAAGTCTTCCTTAATAGAATGCACAGGCACATCTGCATGCCCATGGCCACAAGCATGCACCTGAAAAATCCTGATGCTCCCTGTCTCTTTCCCTTTCCCAAGACCTCCAAGCCGTCACCCTTGGGCTGCAGTCTGCAGAGGGGCCAGCAACCCACGTCCCTTACCACCACTAGGGGGTGTGGTGAGCACACTTGGGAGGGGTGAGCCTGGTGCTTGGAGACCCTGGGGCTGGAGAGTGGGGGGCCTGAGGCCTTCCTGCCACTGTGAGTGCTGGTGGCTCCTCCAGAAAGCCTGGGAAAGGGTGAGGCAAGGCTCACCCTTGTCATGTGGGGTCACCCTCCAATCCCCCTGTGCTGCCACCAGCTAAGCCCCTGTCCCCACCCCCTCCCCCTCACACACCAGGCTAGAGCTGATGCTGAACAAAGCCTCACCGCAGGGGTACAGATTGTTTTACATATGATTTGAATATTGTTTCTTTCAAGTCAAAATAGCACAGCAAGCCCCTCCCCACCCAGGGCTCTCCCCTCAGCTCTCATCTGTTCCTCTGAAGGGTCTCCAGCCCTTGCTGTATCCAGTCAGTCCAAGTGGCCCAGCCCAAAAAAATGTGGAGCTGGCTCGTCCCCAGGGCTCACCTGTACTCTGTGGTATTAATGGTGCGGCCCCCTTTCTCCTGCCCGCAGATCCTCCATGTGAATCAATCCCATGATGCAACATGCCTCCCCAGCCCCAGCTCTGACGATGATGGCCACGCAGAATGTCCCTCCCCCACCCTACCAGGACAGCCCACAGGTGAGTGTGCCAGGGGAGGAAGACCAGGGAGGGAGCGGGGGGCTGGGACAGTCCAGAGGCCGATGGGCAGGGCCAGGCCTCCCCCAGCTGCAGCACCCTGGGCTCTTCCCCTGCCAGGCCTGGCGAGGCCTGTCTGCAGAGAGCCCGGCAAACACAGACCCCTGAAAGGAGTCTTTGCATTTGACAAAACACCAGGGTCAGACCCTGCTTGGGTAATTCTATTGCCAGCACCTAGGAATGTAACCTAGCATGGTTCTATGTTCTGTTCCCCACCCCCCACCCCACGGGCATCAGCCAAGTGCAGCTAAGCCCCTTTGTCGTGACTGGGCAAAATTCACATTCAGGGAGATCCAGGTACAAGGTGCAAGTAGAGGATGCCTTGAGTGTTGGGAAACTTCCTACTCAGAGGTTCCTTAGTACCAGGTCCCTCTATTCACTGGTCACTGGAGCCCTTTCATCCAATCCTCCTCTCCTGCCTGTTGGAAGAATCTCTCTCTCTTCAGGACTCTGCACGCTTTCTACTTAGGAAAAGCCAGGATTCTTTCTCTACACCCTCCAACCCTTTCCCTCTGGTTCCCAGCATCCACCCATCTGCTGAGACACAGCAGCCCCCCAGGTTCTTCTGAGACCCCCACCCTAAAAAGCCAGGATTCTTTCTCTACACCCTCCAACCCTTTCCCTCTGGTTCCCAGCATCCACCCGTCTGCTCAGACACAGCAGCCCCCCAGGTTCTTCTGAGACCCCCACCCTGGTTGCTACTCCTGCAGCAGGCACCGGCACCTGCTAGGTAGCAGCTTCTCACTGTCTTCCGGTTGTCTCCTTCCTCCAGGAAGCCTGGCCCAGCTCTGCCGGCTGGGCTCCTGCAGTCCTTGAGAATGATCACTTCTCATCTGTGCTTCCCCCATGGGCACCTGTTATCTGCCCTTAGTTCTTTTTAGCTGTTACTTATGCGCCTGCTCTTTCACAGAAGGCTCCATCCCCTGACCTTTCCCTTCCTGATCTCCTGTTTTCTCCACACTAGTTTCTCAAGTCAATATTAATTCAATATTTATTTATTGAGCGTCTGTAATACAAAATGCAGCCAGCTAGAATATTCATTCATTCATTTGCATGAATGTGCAGTGAGTCCCTACTGTGTGCTGGCTATCATCCTCACTCTCTCCAGCAGCCATCCTTTACCCTTGCCCTGGTATCCCTCACTCGTTAGCATTTCAAACACTGCGGTTCTCAGGGACCACATGGAATACCTGCACAGCGTGAAAAGGGTATTAAGATGCAGACATGGGGTGGGGAGACTTTTGCATGTATATGCAGTAGCCGCTCTGTACATCCTTGTCATGGCCCCCTCCCCCTGTGAAATTACAAGATGATGTGGGGCCACTTTCCAGGGTGCCCAGCGTGCAAACCACCTTGGACTCCTCTCCCCTTATGGTACAAAGCCCCCATCATTCACCAGCCTTCGAGCACATGCCCTTTAGTGCCCAGCCCTGCTTCCACATGTCAGCTTCATGCTCCTTCCCCAGCTCTAGCCTAATTTCATATTCAGCGAACCTTCCACCCACATTGGTAGTTTTCTGCAAGTGACTGCAAGGCTGGACTTGGCATTGACATGGCTTCTCTATTCGAAAGCTTCCAGGCATCCAACACGATGTCAACGTCTTTCCCTCCCTGGTTGCAGATCCCAGACACAAATTTCAGAAGGAGCCCTCAACTGATGGAGGCCTTTTACCTCCAAAGAAAGAGTGAAAAAGAGAAGAAAAACCTAGGGACTGTCCTGGGGGGCAAAAACCCATTCTTCCTCCATAGTAGCAGACCCATTCCCTCCCCTGCTCAGCCAGTGTTGGGGCCCCAGGGGTATTGATTAAGAGTCGGGAACTTTGGCTCCATTTCTTCTGTAACTGGATACTGTTCCCTGAGCTCCATGGTGGAAATGGGGAACATAGATGAGGACACTTCCTGTATTAGCAGGTGGTGGGTGCTCAGTCCACCCCCAAAGCTAAGGCTCAAGGACAGTCTAGGACAGGGCTGAGAGAGCACTGGGTTGGCACAGCTGGTGGTGGCTGCCTCCCTCCCTCCCAGCCCGCCCTGTTTTGCCTGCCTGGGCAGCTGGGAGAAGTTTTGGTTTGGTGGGGATTAGCAGGAGAGCTGCAGCAAGGGCCTGTGTTGTCCAAAAACGCCGATCCGGGAGCCTAATTTAATTCTCAGCATACAGCTGGATTAAGCAATCCCAGCTGCTCAGCCCCCAGAAGCTATCCCTGAGCTTCCCTAGCCTTTTAGGGGAGAAAGAGAGGCTCCAGCTCTATCTAAGGCCTTAGAGCAGAAGCCAGATGCAGGGATTGTCCCAAGGCTTTTCCCTTTGAGGATCCGTCAGAACCTCCATTGAAAATATTCACATTTACAACAGAGGAATCAGTTGCCCTTGGGGAAGCTGCGCATCTGCTTGTAACCCTAGAGATCCAGAAATGAAGTGTCTGATAGGAAGCCTCAGTGTCCATGGTAAAGTGACCAGGCCACTGTCTTGGGGTCTTTATGGCCTTGGCTAAGCCATTAGACTATGGTAGAATTGCTGTTGGCCTTCTGTGACTTGAGCTGGTTCCCCAGGAAATGGATCAGGATGAGGGGCCAGGGCAGAGGATTAGGGCAGGATGGAGGAGATGGCGAAGCCGCCAGAGCAAAGGCCTCAGGCTCATGAAAGGCTGTTTTCTCCACAGTGCCGGCCTTTGAGGCCGATTGGCTTCGGGGGGCCCTTCTCCCCACTCTTTCGGGCTCCTAGGAGCGGCTCCCTTCTAGAAATGACTCTCCCGCGTGTGCCTGGCTGCTGGGGTTGTGTGCTGGGGAACGTGCACTCATCCTCCTGCTTTCCTCCCTTCATGCGTCCAGGGCGCTTTATGCTTCCAGCTTCTTGGGGGAAACTCTGCTACGTTTCCCTCATTATGCTCATTATCCTAGAGAAGCAGCTGCTCTCTGACACTCAGTGTCTTCAGGAAAGTGGGGCCTGCTAGGAACACAGGTCAGGCACACAGGGGAACCACGTCCTAAATGGGGCTCTCAGAGAACGAGACCGACTCCCCCCTCATCCCTTTAGGTCTAATCGCATTACTTTTGGACCCCGTGTGACTTGTTTCCTCAAGGCCTGGACAGCTGAGCACATCTCTCTATCACCTCGTCAGAAACCCTGTGCCTTTCACTGGCAAAAAATGGACAGTCTCTGATATGAAGTCCCCAAAATGAAAAAGGAAGCGAGAAGCAGAGCCCTTCCTCTGAGACCCAAGCAGTCTTTTTAATAATGTTCCCGTTATGCTAAGGGCTAGCAATACCAATCATAATCTATTCAAATGCACAGGAGAATCTCACTTTGGAAAATTAGGAATCTGCACTAAAAAAATTCCCAAGCCCCGGACCTTCTTTATAATAAATTAGAATTTTTTTTTCAAGGCAAGTTCTCAACTTGGCAATTTAATTTTTGAAGTTTGGGGAATAAAGTTATTAAAAATGATGGAGGCTTTTTTTCTTCCTATTTTAGTAAAGAAGCATTAATGGCTATGGCCCCATGCTATCTGGGTACAAGCCAAGTGGTATGATGGCTAAGCAGCTTCTAGCCCCTCAGTTCTGTTTCATTCCATCCTGGAGAAACTCCATGGTTACTTATGAGGACGTCACTCTGCAGTTTTTGTGCATTGAAGACTGACTGTAAGTTTAGAAAGTGCAAAAGCAACAACCCAGTGGAACACTCCCTGTGGCCTGCTTCCTCCTTCTGGTGGCTTCCCATTAAAGTCTGTCCGAGGAGCAGCGCCCTCTACTGTCTGACTACAGTATCTCAGTGCCAACCTACTGCAGCTGGGTCCTTGATCCAGACCCTCACTTTATGCCCTTAAAGCAGTAGGGGCAAGTCGCAGAGATTGTGCGATTCTACAGTAATTGTTTAATGACAACGGTGTCCCCAGGGAGAACTGGATATGAGCTAGATGTGTGGTCCTTCAGTTCAAGGCATTGTGTTAATCCCTACGTCACTCCCCTTCTGTTGTTCTGTGATTCTGCCACACTCGGCCTGGCTGTTTGCCACCTGGACTTTTACAGCTTCCTCTCCCACTGCCCCAGCAACCCCATGACCCTAAAGGAACTCTCGAAGTTATGTTCTCTACTCTTGCTCCCCTCTCCTGCACTGGCCCAGAACCCCAGCAAGTGTCACTCAGCCTCCCTCCCAGAATTTTCCTGGTAACACAACCACCCTCTCATTCCTTCTGGGCATATACCCTTCATTCATGTACTCTCCCTCCACCTCAGAAATGTCACTCAAGTCCTCCCGTTTCCTCTAACACTCCATATGCAACATCACCCACCAAAGTTCTCCCTTCCACAGCTCCATCAGCAACTCTGGGAAACCATCCGGATTTACTAGCGAAGGCAACAGCTCCTCCACCCCCACCTCACCCACACGAAACAGACTCTTACCATCAGCACCCCTCCCCCTCTTCCTCAAACAGAGACACATACCCACCATGCCACAAATATCTTTGCCCTTGGCTTATAGGCAAGACAGATATTACGTCTGGTCTATTTGTGTTCATATTCAGTGTTTATTAGTATTCTTCTGTCTGCATGTCCCCAGCATGTCAGGTTGCATGAGCATTTGAATAGAAAGTAGAAATCCTAGTGGGTCCTAGTCTGACCCACTGGGCACAGCCCCTGTGGATGTGGGCACTCTGCTGATAGTTTAGGAACAAACTGATCGGTAAGTAACTAGGCATTTACGTAGCATGGCTTGATGATATGTGATATTAAAAGGGTTTTGGCAGTTCACCAAGAATGTAACATCATTATTGACCAGAGAGACGCAAGAGAGGCAAAGTCAGAAATCGGAGCCGAGGTCCAGTATGGGAAGCTCACTTCAGACGGAAGTCAGGAATTTGCCTGAGGTCCTTTGGCAAAAGCTGCAAGAATGTAACATCATTATTGACCAGAGAGACGCAAGAGAGGCAAAGTCAGAAATCGGAGCTGAG